CCAAATGGGCAGACCAAATATGCATGATGTTATATGTTATGTGGTGGTATTTTGGGGGAACTTACTAAACGTTGGCTTACAGTTTAAGTGTTATGTTTTAGGTACTCATAATGATCGGGGCAAGGTGAATGCGTGATCATACACATCCTGTAGTGATATGTTTTGAAGATTTCATGATACTTCGATTTTGAGATATTTGTATTTGGATATTTGGTTCTTATGAATTGGTTTTCGATTGAAACAATGATTTTTACTATTTTGAAAAATAAAAATTTTATTGTGATTTTTGAGATGTTACATTAGAGGTGTTATATTAGTATTTAATATAAAAAATTTAATAAAACTCAATTCTTTTAGGCCAAGTCAGAAAAAAACAAAAAAAAAACAAAAAAAACCGTGCCTTGAAAAAAGCTTGCGCCGTCACGCGATAAGACACACCTTGATACTTTATTTGAATGATACACTTAACAAACTCACATTGGATGTTTTTGTAATGGCTACACCACATCGTGTGCCATGATACGCCTTAAGGTGAGCCATGATGCGTTTTTTTAGAACCATGATAATATATGATCCAAAAGGATCACACTAACAACAACTCGATGCAAATATATTATTTATAAAAATTTGATCATTGATATATAAATATAATTCTTGTAATTAATTGGAAATTATTTATGTAATGAAAATATTAATTTTAAATGTTAAGTATCAAAACATATCATAATATCATAAGGTATGATTTATTATGTTATATATCTTTTTGGACCATAATGGTTTTTTTGTATTATATGAATTTTTATGTTTTATAAGTTATAAAAATTAGAAGAGTTTTTATAGAAAAACTAGCTTCTTTTTTTATAAAATATTCAAGGAGACCGTAAAAAAGAAAGAAGTCTTGGTTTTGATTAATTTATTCAACATATCATACTCTTAGAAAGCATGACTATTTGATTTGATAAAACATGGGTCTAAGTGTTAAGTCCATGAGATAATGCTTAAAGTAAGGACCTAAAAAAACTAGTTTCCTCTCTTCTTTCATAAGCTAAAAACCACGAAATTTTAAGCTTCTTATTTCCATATTCTCTTTAGTTCTGTCTCTTAAAATGTTAAGTTCAAAGTAAAAAGAAATTGATATTTTACTTGAACTCTCATGTAGAACAAAAGCTTTGTTATGTTCTTAAAGCCTTACGAGATTCTTTTATTACAAGATGAAGACTACCATCTTATCAAGTTGGTTAAATGTTAGTGGATACTTCTAGAAAGCTTCTTCTTTGAAACTTAAAGTCATCTTCATCAACTTCTAATCGCCAAAAATAACCAAAGTCTTTAAAGGTTGTAAAACATTCTTTCATTAGTTATTTTAATCTTTCTATGTATTGCAAAACGATCTTTCGATAGGAATAAAACTAGTTTTATTTTTATTCAAATCATAAGTAAGACCATTGTCATATTTACGTTTTTTAAACAATTTTTGAATAAAAATCCAAAATTTTTGAATGCACATATATTAATTATTAAAATAAGACGTGTGTTTTACTTATTATGTTATCAATAGCAATTAATTAAATTTTTTTTCCTTCTAGTTTTTTTTCTCTCTCTTGATATATTTTTATCCTGGGTTTTTGTTTTTTCATGACCACTAAAAAGCCATTATAAATTAATAACTTTAGAATGTTATTATATATAATGATTATTAAAAATAAAAGTTCAATATCAATGTATAAATATTAAATATTAAAAAAAAATATTTTTACATAAATGCGAACGAGATAATGAATAAGTAAATAATTCAATCTATGCTAATAAAAAACTATTGATATATTATAAATAATGATGTTGAAAATTAAGGTGTAAACATTAAATATTTTTTAAATTAACTTTCTAAATAAATACAAACGAAATGATGAATACGTAGTTATTGAATCTATACTAACAAAAAAAATTATTGACATATTGTAAATAATTATTATGAATCAAAAATTTCAAATATTTCTTTGAAGATAGTGTTCTTTTTTATTTATTAGGGTAGAGATAGAGATATATTATACACACATATTAATTTAAAATTTTTGAATAAATAATAAATTTGTTAGACTTCAAACTAAAAGTCCAAAAAATTAAAGGTATGATTTGAATTCAAATATATCATCAGGATATTAATTGTGTCATTAGAGTATCCATTTGAATTTAAATATACTTATAAATTAATAAACATTTAAATAGAATGAATACTTTATATATATATATATATATATATATATATATATATATATATATATATATATATATATATATATATATATATATATATATAAAATAGTAGACTTATTAATTAAGTGGAATTGATTATCCCTATTCTAATAAATGAATAGTTTTAATCTCCTTTTATCAAGTATCACTCTAATACAACTTCTTATTAATATTATACCATATGTCATATAGATATATTAGGCAACTTATTTCAAAATTCAAATTTATATTTTTTAATTATATGTTAAATTTGAAATTATAATAACTTTAAAATTTTGATATATCTCTTAATTAATAATTTATTTAAAACAACTTATTTAAAATAATTAATTATTGATTATTTTTTTTAATAAAAGTTTAATTAACTTTATAACCGTGGTTCTCACGGGTTATAAACTAGTTGATTAATAAAAAAATAAAGATACCGCATAATGATATGTAAAATTTAAATAATTGTAAAATCTCATGACATGCGACAAAAGTTTTAACAAAATGACAAGTGACAAAAAAAACATTCATTTATTAGAGAGGATGCAAAAGCACAGTCCATGAAAGAGATAACCTTCACGAGTGTCTATATTAATATATATTTAAAGGTTTGAAACAAGTTAGGCCATGGGGTATTGGGTACTTTAGGATGTGTAAAGGGTGACGTGGAGGGGGGTATTTATGCGTGAACCCCCCCCCCCCCCCCCCCAATGGTGAATGTGACGCAGATTGATTGACTTTACAGGTGGTGACGCGCAATTTTATTAGTAAAAAAGCTTTTGACCGTTTGGATTAATTAAAAAAACCTTTTCAATTTAATACTTCGGCTATATATACACAAACACATAAACACAAAAACACACATCTCTCTACTTTACATATCTATCTATTTTCTCATTTTCTCTCAACAATATGAAGCAACATCAAAATACATCTACCACTTCAAACAATCCAACAACCCCACACAATCCAAATGATCAATATCAAGGTTACATTCAAATGCTAACATCCACAATCCAACATCAATCTCTATTTACCAACATTCTATTTCAACAAAACTACTTCCAACAACAAATACCACAATCCCAATTCCAAGGTTTTCAACAATTTCAACCCCATCAATTCCAAACACAATCATCTCAAGTCCCTTTTTCTCAATCCCCACCTATAAACCTTGACAACAACGACGACGACAAGGTTGAAGAAACACAACCATCTAGGCGAAGGAAATCAAAAGGAAAAACTACAAATAAAAGAGAAACAACTTGGATCGAAGAGGAGGAGGAAACTTTAGCTAAAACTTGGATTTCTATATCGTATGAATCGAGGACGGGCAACGCGCAAATGGGAAACAATTTTTTGCTTCGTGTTTTAGATCACTTTCACTCGCTCTTAGGAAGGCAAACGGGCCGAACGTACGATATAGTCAATGGAAAATGACGTGAACTACGAGCGTCGTGTACCAAGTTTAACGTTATATTTGAAAATCTAAAAAATATGCATAAAAGTGGTAACAACGATTTCAATATTTTATCAACCGTTTACCAACAATTCAAAGTTACCAACGGTGGTAAAGTGTTCGGCCACCAAAAAGCGTGAGAAATTTGTCGTCAGGGTCCAAAATGAGTCCTTAACCCAGAGACTTCGCATTTGGAATCGACCACCGGCTCCAACAAAGGCCAAGGACTTCCGAGTCAGATGTGAGTTTTGGTGTCGACCTTAATGACGACTTCAATGAGACCGAACGGAAGGGTCCACAAGAAGTCAACTTCGTTGACCACCGGGAAGGGATAAAGGGAAAAAGCGGCATCTTCAAGCGGAAAAACGAAGACATACGTGCGGTCCGAATTGACAAAACTCTAAGTTTTTTTTACAAAAAAATATGAATTAACGGAGGAAGCTCGACGTCGGAAACAAGCACTCACGGATCTTCAGATTTTAAACACGAAGATGCTACCAGATATCGACCCGGAAAATTTAGCCGCGTTTTTGAAAACCCAACAACAAGTTCGGAAAAAGTATGGAACTTAGGTTTTAACGTTTTTAATATTTATGTTTAATTTCTATGATTTTTAGTTATTTAGGTTTTAAGTTATATATATATATATATATATATATATATATATATATATATATATATATATATATATATATATATATATATATATATATATATATATGGTTTTAGTAATCTAAATTTGAAAGTTTATGTTTTATGTTTTTTTATGTATTGTGAAATATCTAGTTATATTATTAATTTAGTTTTTTTTAATCTAAATATATAAAAAAAAATATTGTAGAGTAATAACAATTTCCAAGACTAGTGAACATGTAATGGGGGTGGCGCATACGTATCATCATTTTTCTAATAAATACCTTGTGACCATACACCATAACCTTATTTGGATATATCTAAAGTATCATCGACTATTTCTAGTAGAATCGAAAAATGAAAGAAAGTAGATGATTGTATCTAGAGCTAGTTTCATAATTAATATATAGTAAAAAAAAAAAAAAAAAAAAAAGTAATCATTCACAGGTTTAATTCGCAGTAACCATATTTTACAAATTAGACATAAAGTTTACACGTAAAATTAATTAATATCGTAAATATTAAGCAAGTCCATTTTGTTATCAAATAATGAGCCCATCTTTTTCGTTACATTAGTAGGCTAGGGCTTCTTTATGAGTGTATGTTGTTAAATTATTCTGGGTTATTTAAATGGGCTGATTAGGCCTACTCTGGAGTGGAAAAATCCGGAAGAGGTAGGCACGTGTCATACAGTTTAGTCGGTAACGCGTGGAGGTATCTACGGGTGCCTGAAGCTTCAGCTGAAAAGAAAAGTGAAAAAGAAAATGAAAATGTCGAGTTCAGTTGTAGCGTACAGCTTCCGCCATATCCCCCCTTTAAAGCAGCGCTCTATCCGGTACTTCTCTCATCAACGTCCCCTCCGCCGTCGTCCGCTCTGCTCCCCGTGCGCCGTTCTCGTCGCAACCTCACCATCATCTTGCAGTCTTCCAAATTCGGCGTCTTTCACGGGCAATTCTTTGTTTCGGAGGATGGAGGTGATCTTTTTAACACACATATATATTTTTTTCTTGATTTGGATTCGTTATTCATGTTGTGTTTTATAATTTATTATCTTCTGTTATGATTTGTGGTTACGGAAGCACCATGACTTGAAATTGCGTTCATTCGATATTCGATTCCGATTTCTGCAGATTTGTGTTGTTTTTGGGCTTTTAGCTGCTTAAGTCGTTGCGATGATCGTCTAAGCGAACACTCGACATTTCTATTGAATTTCGATGCTATATGTGCTTTTCACATCATTTTCCTTGATCCTCTCCTTAGATGTTGCGTCTTGTTATAGGTTTAAATACTACCAAAATTTGAGCAAACAATTTGTGGAATACATATAAAGGGCTTATAAGGGAAGAATGGATGAAATGGACTCTATGTTTTATCAAGTTGAATTTGGTACGTGAATCACTAGAAAACGATGTTGTTATAGCTAAGTAATAGTTCATTTCTACTAACTACAAACCCTATGATTGTTTGAAGCCAAAATATATCCATTTCTATTCAATCAGAATACCGAAACCCATAAATGTCTCACATAATTTGTTAAACTTAAAACAGTGACTTGTAAGCATATTCTGGATAAGAGGCAAAGATTTGGTGCTAGATGCTCTTTGATCTTCTTAATATTACTGGCTGTGTTTTCAGTTTCCACAAGTAATGAAGTGTACCAGTGTGTTATCTTTTAGTTTTTATATGTTTTTTTTTTTTTTTTGTATGCATACAGCGATATTGGGCTGCAAGCAGCATCAATAAGAATAAAGGAATGGTGGAGCATTTGCAACGTTATGGAGTTATTCAGTCAAAAAAAGTGTCTGAAGTAATGGAGACTGTGGACAGGGCATTATTTGTACCTGATGGATCCTCAGCCTATGAAGACAGCCCTATGCAAATAGGCTTCAATGCCACCATTTCTGCACCTCACATGCATGCTACTTGCCTTCAATTGTTGGAGAAAAATCTACAGCCTGGGATGCATGCTTTAGATGTTGGTTCAGGTATTCTCTCATCTCTTATCTTCTCTTTTTATCTCCATGGATTATAAACTTATGTAAACCATCAACCATATGCTTTCAAGTAATGACACTTTTATAGGAACCGGATACTTGACTGCATGCTTTGCGCTTATGGTGGGCCCACAAGGTCATGCAATCGGTGTGGACCACATCCCCGAATTGGTTACATTGTCGATTAAAAACATTGAAAAAAGCGCTGCTGCTCCATTACTCAAAGATGGGTCTCTCGCCTTACATGTGGGAGGTGTGTCATAATCGATCATACTTTTTTAATTTGATTCATTTATTTTTATGAGTGTTGTAATAATGACAGATGGGAGAGAAGGGTGGGTGGAATTTGCACCTTATGATGCTATTCATGTTGGGGCAGCAGCACCAGAAATTCCACAGCCATTGATCGATCAACTGAAGCCTGGGGGCAGATTAGTCATTCCGGTTGGGAATGTTTTTCAGGAACTGAAAGTTGTTGATAAGAAGGAAGATGGTTCTGTGAGTGTGCGTAGTGAAACTTCAGTGCGATATGTTCCGCTCACAAGTAGGGAAGCACAGTTGCGGGGATACTGATGTCAAGCATACTATTTACGCCTTGATGGCAATTCTGTATATTGGTTTTCAGGTATGCGGGTTTAATAAAAGAAAATACAAGGGACAGTTTAAATTCTTAGTTTTGTAAGAATTGGGTTAATGATGTTCTGAAAGTTAACCATTATAGTGGGGGATGTCATCTTATTGCTATATCTTACCATTAAAACTATAGAATACTTATCACTAACAGGTGTATCTTACCATTAAAACTATGGAATACTTATCACTAATGTATCATTCTAAATCATTTTTTAATTATATTTAATTCAAAAATATAATAAAAATACAATATATATATATATATATATATATATATATATATATATATATATATATATATATATATATATATATATATTTAAAACTAGGTTTTGATTAAATTAAAAAAAGACATTACATTAATTTAAAAATAAAGCGACCAATAATAAATAAAATTGAAAAAAACATAAAAATTCACTTACAAACAACTATTTTTAATCTTATTTTTATTTATTTATTTTTTTTGTTTTCAAAACTTTATCTATTCCATATTGGTATTAAATAAAATTTTAATTGTCATTGTATAATGAGTGAGATGGCAAACGTGCAACAAGTTGTGCTGTTAAGCCTTTTTGAATGGTAAAACTAATTCTTTTAAAGACTACATCCGAAGATATAGGGGATATAACATTACTATTCATGATTCGTTGTACCTTTTAAGAAGCATTATCGCATCTGGTACGAGAAAACCAAACGTATCAAATGCAAATGGTATGAACACGTGTTGATTTTTCATACAAGATTTCTCATGTTTAGTGACTTTGCTTATAGTTGCTTTTAAAGCAGCATGTCCCACCGTGAAATCTCCATCCCTTAGGCCCACTAGAGAGGATACTCCTGTAAGATCCACATATGCGTGTTTCCCTCCGATCTATCCAAAAATCAAAATATCAGCCGGTCTGAGGGTTGACCTTCCTTCTGTCGGGTCAATCAAAAAATTAACATGTGCATCTTTCTTAGCGGAAACCCCGACACGCTTATATATGTCAAACAAAACATCTTTAACCATATCGTGCTTGTATTTGAACCCAGGAAGTTCTTCACAGTGAACTGCATGCTCTCCAAAAGAATCCAAACATATCTTGCGACACACAACACATATCTTATTTTTTTTTTTTTTTTTTTTGAACAATGTTCTTTCATTTGAAAGAATTCTTTAATTCATGTCAAGCTTTAAGATGTGTAAAACGTTTGTAGTTTGTATTTTCATATTGATCCATGGTCATATTAACCTCATTGATACCAACTTCATACATATTATTTATAACAAAGTTGTAAATTCAACCGAACTTGCAATATTTTACCCTTATATCGTGCCATTTTGAACATATTTCGTAAGGATTTCGACTTGTAGAACCTTTTAAACCATAAAAAATGTTTTTAACTTTTCTTTAAAATTTTCTAGAGGTTCGATTATTTTCATTTTTTGAAACTAACACCCATGCTTGTGTTACTATATATTCTTCCTCTTCCGACCAATTCATCATTTTGGGTGCCATGATTTTTGAAAGAACAAACACAAATGTATGAATGTGAATAGAAAGAGAGAAGAATTGTTTGAAATATAAGATTTGTAGTGGTATTTATATAAGTAAAAATTAAATAAAAAAATAAAAATAGCCGTTAAAGAAAGGTCAATCAATCAAAAGAGTATTTAAAGCATGATTGGCTGCTGTATTTTGCGGTTGGCACCACCATCGAGCATGATCACAACCGACCTGGGTTGTGCATGAACCACAACACAATTCATGGTCGGTATTGCATATAGCCTTAACAAGAGAACTTTTTATTTAAACATTCTTATGAAAAATTAAACGGAATTGTATTTCTCGCCATATAAGTGATTTTCATTTGTTTTTTATTAGTTGTGTTTAGATGCTTAGTTTTAATTGGTTAAAGGTTAAGGTCCCACTAAGAAATAAAAAAGTTATTGGTTAAAGTTTGTTAATTAACAAAGAAGCTTTGAATTAAATAAGTTTTTTTTATAGATTTTTTTATTTTTTAAGAGTTTTTTTGTTTGAAAAATCTTACGTTATGGATGTTCTAATATATATATATATATATATATATATATATATATATATATATATATATATATATATATATATATATATATATATATATATATATATATATATATATATATGATTGGATGTAATTTTTTTTTTACCAGATTAGTGCCCTCAACACCACCTCTATTATCCAATAACAATTGGATAGGTGGCCATTGACTCTTAACCCGATATCCCACCGCCCAACGATTGATATCACCCCCGATTCATTGTTTTCTTCTCCATTTGTTCCATGTTTTCTCTATCTCCACCGCATCTATCTTCAATCAGCCTCCGTCCAATCTATACTAATTTTGAAGTGCCACATGAATAGTTTTTTGCTCATATTTGTTGATTTTCTTTTCTATTTTCTTTTTGTCTAATTTTTGTTCTTTATCTATTTATCCAATTATATATATATATATATATATATATATATATATATATATATATATATATATATAGGGAAAAGTGAATATACCCTTAAGGGTATATAAACTTAGGTACCCAAACCCACCATAATACGCCGTTTTGTTTGATATATTCATTATAATGTTCTTAAACTTCAACCCTAACTTGATTTACTTTCATGATTTTTCGAAATTTCACTATTATCTTCATCTTACATTACATCTTTTTGCGGAACACCTACTAGACTATATATATGATAGTTACAAATGAAAATTATGTAAGAGGAAAATAAATATGAAATGTATAAAAATTTTGGAAGTAAATCATGTTAGAAGTTGAATTATAAGAACATTGGACAATTACAATGTATATATATGATACAAAACGATGTAGTATTGTGATTTGGGTACCTAAGTTTATATACCTTTAAGGGTATATTCACTTTTCCCATATATATATATATATATATATATATATATATATATATATATATATATATATATATATATATATATAGGTAAGTTCAATTGAGAAAATTATCAAGTATATAAATATATATAAATCCATTTTTATAAAAAAAATGTATACAAAAACGTATTTTACAAAATTATATATACAAACACCTATCACTTATATATATATATATATATATATATATATATATATATATATATATATATATATATATATATATATATATATATATATATAGGTGTGTATCTATATTTTTTTTTTATAAAAACGTGTTTGAATAATTTTTTATATAATACGTGATTGTATACATTTTATAAAATGTATACAAACAAGTATTATATAAAAAACTATTCAAACAAGTTTTTATAAAAAAAAAATATAAACAAACACGATTTTATAAAAAAAATAGATAAAATAGTTGTTTGTGTACATTTTTTTTTTGTTAAATATGTTTTTGTATACATTTTTTTATAAAAACGAATTTGTATATATTTATATACTTAATAAAGATTTATTTTATAACTAGATATTTCATATAAAAAACTTTTTAAAAAAGGTTTTTATATAGATAATATAAGATTTTTAAGTGAAATACGTTTTTTTATATAATTATGAGTTTATAAAGATAAAACATATTAGAAACAATTCTTTGAGAAAAAAGTTGAAAAAAAAAATTAAAGTTATGATGAATTCGTAAAAAAAATTTAAAATTTGGGCAAAAAGAGTAAAGTTTGGACCAAATTTGTAACAAAATTTAAAATATGTGCCAAAACTGTAAATTTTGGACCAAACTTGTAATAAATTTTGAAATATGGAACAAAAATATAATTTTTGAAAGTTGGATGACTTGTTGACCGGATCAAAGGGTTAAATTGAATACGATTACCGGTATTTGGAACTTAATTGAATAAAAAAAGTATACAAGGACTAAATCGATTATGAAACCAATATGTAGGGACTTTATTGCAGTTTTCCCTATAATAAAAGAATATTTTTATTCTACTTTTGACACGTATCACCTTATTAATCATCATAATTAACGCATATTTTATTTTTCTTTTGTCACGTGTCTCGTAATTAATACATATTTTATTTTTCTTTTCCCATGTGTTACCATATTGTATCTCCTAATTAATGAATGCTACTTGTCAACCTATTGATTATTCTTTTAAATTTACGCTCTAATTATATTAAATTAATAATATTAGAATAAAAATTAAAATAAAATTAATACAAATTAAAAAGTGATATAATTTCACATATTTATTTAAATTAATGATTATAATTTTATATAACTAAAAAAATTTATTAATTAAAAATTTATTTAAAATAATTGATTAATGATTTTGAGTTTTTATTACAAAAGTTTAATTAATTTTGTAATCGTGGTTCTCATGGGTTATATATATATATATATATATATATATATATATATATATATATATATATATATATATATATATATATATATATACTAGTATGGTGCCTGCGCGATGCGGCGTCGCCTGATAATTCTGTTCAGAAAGTAGTTTTCCAATGGCAATTAGTTCCCATTTCACGTGAGATAGTTCAATTCAATATTTTAGTTGATTGTTTTATGCCAATATTTTATTTTAAATGATTTAATTTGAAGTATTTATTTTAAGATTGAGATCTATTGTATTGGGAAATTAAATAAACTACTGATTAAAAATTAGTTATTATTATTATTTTTTTTAATAACAACTCTTTTCCGGTTTTTGAAATAATTTTATTTTTCTTTCCAGTGTTCTATTCCGAATTGTTTTTCAATTTCCATTGTACTTTTGTTATAATTTTTTTAAAATGAATGTCTATATTTATATCCAAAATATTTATTTCGAAGTGTTTAATATCATTGTTTTCTAATCAAATATTTATTTTTAAGTTGGAGTATGTTTGTTTAAATTTGTGTTAGATTTTTTCAAAACAAATATTTTTTTCTAGAAATTCCGAAACTGTTCATCGGTTTTCGAACTTGTTTTTAAAGTTCCAGAGTTTTTTTTTTCGAATTCCAAAATTACATTCTAAAATCGTTCATTGCGTCTTAAATATATATTTTTTTAGAAAAAAAGTATCTTTTATTATTCCGGAATTCTTATTCCATGCTTGGTGGTTATTATGTTAATAATAATTGTTTTTTATTATATTTCTTTAAGTACGCATCATGTTATGTAATTATGGTTAAATTATTCAATTTCTTTATTTTATTTTGTAATTATGATTATATTACTCAATTTCTTTATTTTATTTTGTTAGAATCGTTTATATATTATGCTAATATAGACGTGCATGTGTAGACTTCTTTTGTTGTAAATGTGTTTATATATCTTTATTAGATCTAAAAATTATTATTCTTATTTATAAAAAAAATCCTCAATGTTAGTTATTAATTTT